TGACCGGCGCCGTTGACCAAGACTTGGACCAAGCTGGAGTTGGTAATGCCTCGCCAAGCCCCTAGCCTACCCCCTCACCCTGTGGATGTGCACTCACCCTACGGTACTTGCTGAGTCTGAGTCTATCTGTCTTTCCTTTCTGCATCGAGTCTCTTTTGTCCTAAGTGGTAGCACTCTGTGGATAAAGGATAGTGCTTGGATGACAAAACCTTAGTCTGACCTTGTAGGGCTGATGCTGTGGCTGATCCAACTTTCCAGGGGGGGCCTAACCCTCCCAAGGACCGGTGCTGACCGGCTGGAAACGGTTGGTAGGACTCAGTGGGCCTGAACGGCAACTAAGGCTGACACACCAGGCAGTCTTTAAGTGTTGAGGGCCTGTTTGAACCACTCCCCTACCGAACCCAGTAAGGCTGATGATCTGTGTTTGACGACTCGACTGTCCCGAGGGATACGAACCCTCCCAAGGACCGGTACAGACCGTCGGGCTGCTCGGTGTGGCACAGTAGGCCGGAAAGGCTGAGTTGTGGGTTGAAAGCACAGGCAAGAACCAAGCTGATCACGTCGTCCTTTCTGCGACGTTAAAGAATTCTTGCGGAGTTTGGGGGATCTCCTTAAATGCCTCCAGATCAGCTGTTGGTTCAGTAGTGACAGCCTTAGAGTAGGTCTGGGATAGTGACCATAGTTGACAGGGTTCCACCCTGTGGTCCTTAGAAAGTCAGTCACTCAGTGGGTCAGTGTCCGGGTAGGTCTAAGTGGTGAGGAGTGGGACTTTGGTCGTGCACCTGACACCACTATGGATGACTATTCGATGTATGGGGTACTTGTTGGGTTCTCCCTCTGGGGGACCCTTTGGCGTCTCCTCTTTCCTCTGGGCTTCTGACCCACTTTCACGTGTAGAGTAGGAACCCGGGGTGGCACGTCCACCCAACCTTACACGAAGGAGGAGGAGGAGAAGATGGTCGCCATCAGGCAGGAGAGAAAGGAGGAGAAGGAGGCCAAGAAGAAGGCCCTGTAGGAGGAGCAGGCGGCAAAGTTGAAGAAGATAGAGGAAGAGATGGCTAGAGAGAAAGAGAGGTTGAAGAAGGAAGAAGAGGAGAAGTTGAAGGATGTGGAAGAGGAAGAAGAAGATGAACCGCCACTGCAAAGGAGGAGAGGGCAGCACAGTGGCAGCAAAGATGAAGAGATGGAGAAACGGATTACGGAGTGGGTCGCAAACTTATCCCTGGGCGAAGAAGAAGAGGTAACTATGTACATCCCGAAGGATGACCAGGAAGCCGCTATGAAAAAATGGGAAGCAGAAGAAGATGTTCTGAAGCGGCAGGCGATGGAAGATGAAACAAGGATGGAGTGGAAACTCGCAATGATGAGGGAGAAGAAGAGAAGAGTGGAGGGGGCAAAGTAAGAGGAGGTTCAGAAACTGAGTTTACAGTTGACCCCTCAGGTAGACCTCCAACAAAAGGTGGAGATCATCGGCCAGAGCGTCGAGCGTTTAGCCAGAGTGCAAGAATAGCAATATGAGTTTAGCCGAAGTCAGGATATAGCTGTGCGTTCGATGCGAATGGGATTTCGGGACTTTGCCCGCGAGCTGATAGGTGTTGTAGGAGCTGAGGTGAATCATTGCCTCAAGAAGACTGAGCGCTTTTGCGTGGGCGCCATTGAGAGCGTCAAGGTGGCAGCTCCCAAGGAGGAAGAAGCGCGTCCTCGTAGGGAGCCGGTCAAAGTCAAATTCCCTGATTCCTACAGTGGAAAAAGGGAAGAAAACTTTGACAATTGGGAGGCCAATGTCAAGACCTCTGTGCATCTGCCACACGTCTCCCCAGATCAACACGTGTTGATTGCGATTCATGCGCTTAGAGATGAAGCCGCCAGTTTCGCGAGGTCCCTAGTCCGTGCTGCCAACTGCAATGAAGATGCAGTTGCCTACTCGTCGTTCACCCCCCTCGTTGAATTTATGAAATTGTTGCGCGAGCGATTTGCTGATGTCGCTCGTAGTGTCAAAGCCTCAGATAGGCTTCAGACAATTCACTCTCGTCAGTGGAAGAGTGCCAGGGCACTCAAAAACACTATGGACGAATTAGTGGCTGTTCCTGACCATGGGGTCACAGAGCCCCAACTGGTCAACCTCTTCTATCGGGCTATGCCCGAAGCGCTACGTGGCCAATTCTTTGCGAAGAGCCAAGATCCTGTTATGACTTATGATGCACTCAACAGGGAAGTGGTCGCGTTTGAGGCGAAGTCTGTGTCAGTTTCCACTTTCTGGCACAAAGACTTAGATAAGGGAAAGAAGTGGAAGGGTCGCACTATCTCAGGGCAAGTTAAGACTAAGGATAGTCTTGTCCTCACTTTAGATGAAGGTAGTGTTGACAAGATCCCCTACGTGCAGATTGAGTGGGGGTTAGAGGAGGAGGACGGCGGTGCGAGTCAGGGGAGAACTTACGCTGCTGTCGCGGCTGGGAGGGAGGCCGCAAGGAGGAGGACGAGGCCAGGGCCAAGGGGGCCGGGCCTCAGGGAGCCGGTTTCAAGGCGATCAGGGGGTTGGCGGCAGAGGAGGTAACCGCCAAGCGGGAGGAAGGGGTCAAGGTCCCCCGCAAAACTGTCCCAGGAATAGGTCTCCCTATAGGCTAGGTGGATGGCACCCAGGGCTACCTCAGGGTAGGCCTTGGGAAAGTCTGGGTCTGGACCAGAATTTATGGCAACAGCGTCTGGACCGGGGCCAGTGCATTTTTTGCGATGACAGGGGCCATATCATTAAATATTGTTATGGGACTTAAGAGGTAGAGTAGGGGCCCTAGTAGACTCGGGGGCCACCCGCAGCTGTATTAGTAAGAAAACGCTGCAGAAGTTGAAGCTGGGACTTAAAGTCCAGAAACTAACAGACCCCATAGTTAGTATCTTCGCGGACAATCGTACCATGGTTGTAGAGGATTACGTAGAGGGAGTCCAGGCGTATTTCCGCCTAGAGAAGGATTGGAAAGTGGAGAAGGTCCTCCACTCCCTGACTCTCCTCGTAGAAGACAGCCTCCCATTTGATATCGTTATGGGAATGGATTGGGGAGAGGCAGTCGGGGCCACACTCCATTTAAAGGAGCACGAGTGTAGGCTCCCTAGTCCTTCAGGCGAGGCTAAGACTGCCCGCCTGTTTCATGTGTCAGGAGTAGAGAACCCCTTGGCACATTGCTGCCTTAGTGCTCCTGCGTTCGCAAGATTAGTGAAAAAGGAGCAACTGGAGGAACAAGTCTTTGTTGCCTATGTTAGGCCAGTTACTGAGCCTACGGAAGAGAAGCCTATAAACCCTGCGATTGCCAAGCTGCTGGAGGAGTTCAAAGATTTAACTGAGCCGCCGATAGGAGTAGTGCCGCGGCCTGTCCAGCATCGGATCGAAATTGAGCCTGGCAGTAGAACTCCCAAAGGAGCTGTGTATCGAATGTCCCCGCGGGAGTTAGAGGAGCTTCGCAAACAATTAGATGAGCTCCTTGAGAAGGGTTGGATTAGGCCCAGTTCGTCTCCTTTTGGAGCACCTGTCCTCTTTGTCCCCAAGAAGGAGGGAGAGCTGAGGATGTGTATAGACTACAGGGGTCTGAATGCTATTACAGTAAAGACTGGGGGCTTTTGGCAGTTGGTACCGTGTACATCGCTGCGGAGCAATGCATGAACTGGAAGTGGTGACAGCTTCAGCGTTGGAGAAGACGGACATAGCTGGACCTGCGGAGTGTCGGCCATAGCTGGGACCGACACTGTACTCTGACAGCACGCGGGGCTGTTCAGAGGTCTGAGCTATCTGGAGTCTGCTGGGGGCGAGAGGAGTTGGTTCCCTGCTGCACCCTCCTCAGGAGTAGGGTGTCAGAGTGTGTGGCGCTGCAGCCATAGCTGCAGCTTTTCTTCCTCAGAGATCATCTTTGTCAGGAGTGGTGGTGGTGCTACAGACTTCCGTCCGGGAAGTCTTCTGGCACTTCGTTGTCATCAGATACTGTGGCGCTGGTCTTCTTCTTCATCCTCTCAGAGGCGCTTGGCCTCAGAGGCCTGTTTCAGGGTGGCACTTCCCTCTGGAGGCAGTATATGGGTGGTGGTTGATGTTTCAGTGGCTCAGGGGTAGTAATAGCGGTTACTCGGGGTTGGGGAGCGAAGCGCTGCTCATTTCTGAGCAGCGCACCATGGTACTGAGTTTAATAAACAGTGTGAATACTGTGTGCAGACTATCTTTGCTTCATTGTTTCCTGGATGAACAGTGTGAATACTGTGTGCAGATTATCTTTGCTTCATTGTTTCGTGGATGTGATCTACTCGGCTTTCCTTTGTGACTGGTTGTGAGGATTCTGTGGAGCGAATTGCACTCTCAGTGTTTTCTGTCACATCGCATGGTCAAGTCTTCTGCTGTGTTTGTCTCTCCCTGTGTGGTGTGATAATCCCATCCTCTCCCCTTCCTTCTGTGTATGTATGGGCACATACCTGGAAGTCTATGTGAGCGAGTGTTGGTCCTCTGACAAAAAACAACCAGGTTCATAACACCACTGTAAGTAACACAGGGTAAAAAACAGGTGTTCCAAGGATGACTGCCACCCTGCTTCATGAATCTACCCACTGTTGACAGTTATTGAAGGGGCTTGAGTGAGATCCGCTGTGCCAGTCAGGGAAGAGCCCAATGGAAGAACGGAAGAGAACAAGTGTCCTCAGGCTGAGTCACCCTTTGGAGTGGAGTCAGTGAGGTGAATCCAGTTCTAGCGTAATCGGGCATAATTGACTCATGATGCAGATGTAAGTGAGGGGTGGTGGTTTCTAACGTTTGAAGTTTTCATCTTGTCTGTTAGTGTGCCAGCTGTCCGCAATGAGCATGTGAGCATCTTCGTTGCTGGGGTGGTTATTGACGAAGGTCAATGCCCTGTCTCACCCACTGTAGACGGATGTGATTGCAACATGAACAGAAATCTATGCTGTCTTTTGTCGGGCTACTGGGCTGAATAGAGCATGTGTTTCCTTGCTTGCTTGCTTGCTGATGTGTTCAGTATTGGAGACGGAGATCATGGCAGTCGAACGTGGGCAGGTCTTTGGGGATGTTTATGATTTGGATATTCTAGGCATTGATTTGAGCCCGGATACTATGATTCCTGGAGTTGCTGTAGCATCTAGAAGAGCAACAGCCTTGGCAGGTGAGTTCATGGCTATGACCAATTGGTAATAAGTACTAATAACAATAATCGGGTGTTTCTGCTATTTCATCACTTACTTAGTTGGGTTGGAGGCAAAGCTGGGTCTGGGCCGAGATTGGGATGGTGATGGAGCTGGAGTTCCCAGCTTTTGCTCACAGTGTGAACCCTATGTCACTGTTTGAATGCACAAAACGTGCGTTCACGTGCAAACAGTTCCGTTCAAACCACAACCAGGCGCGTTCAAATGTGTTTAAAAGCGCCACATGGCGGGAGACGGGAGAAAACTGAATGCGCGCTCGCATCATTAGCTACTAGGGGATGCGAGTAGTTAGAAAAAAAGAAATGAAAATCTGTGCGTATGCGAGAAACTTGCACATATGGTTCGGGAAAGGCTCTCTGATGCCTATCTATGTATGAAGGCGTCAGTTATGCTATTTCACTCAAAGATTTCGTAGGTTGGGTAGCCTTTGCAATATTTTTGTCCATTTTTGTTTTTTATGCACCTAACATATTGGGACATCCTGACAATTATATACCTGCAAATCCTATGTCAACTCCAGATCACATAATGCCAGAATGGTATTGTGTACGTGTGAGTGTGTGGGTGCATGTATGGGTGTGTGTGTTTGTGTGCGGGCACCCCCCCACATCCCCTTTTTCTTAATAAAAAAAGAAAACGTAAAACAACAATGAAAACGGGAAAAGGAAAAAGAGAAAGAGAAAGGAGAAAACGTCCCTCTGTGTGCAATGTGAGGAATGTGTCTTCATGGGGATGTAGACAACATGCATATGTTCTGGACTGTGGCCCCCAGCAAGCCTCGTGCCCACCCTTAAGTGAAGGCGGGCCTGAATATCCACCAGAGGCCCTTATCTCAGCATTTTCCAATGTGGGTCTCAGACAGTTGCTGCACGCCAGTTGGTTGAAGTGCAACCTGGGCCTCACCCTGGTCTCTTCCAGAAGAAGCAGCTGCGTCAGGCAGTTGAGCCTGGGGCGTAGGTGGTTGCGCCCTGGGCACACGCAGTGTGAGGCCGACACATCACGAAGTGGCCATGGGCCAATGAGAATGCAGCATTATCGTCACATCTACCCCACAGGCCAATGCAAACACAGCAAAAATTTGGAGCCTGGATAAGCCTGGGTGTGCCCAACTGAAAAGGGCCCAGGCCGTCAACTGTCGACATGGGCCTGGGCGCGGACACTGGGGCCCGACCAGAAGCTACTGGAAACTTCCATGGCCAGGCCCAGACAGTCAAGCAGCAGCAGCGACTCCCATATAAGGAGAAGGCCAGCCAGTGAAGGGCATTCTGGCCTAGGCAGGCAATGCGGACACACTGCTGCGATTGCGTGCAAGTGTCTGCATGCGCTAATGCTGGTCAGGGCGCGCGTGGGCACTGAGAGGTGTGGGGCGCTGCAGGGCAGCGGAGCGCCAAGCGGACATAGCAAGACTGCAGGGGCGCAGGCAGGTGGAGGCGACGGTGGTCTTCGGGAAGGAGGCGCAGGGGTGGGTCGACAAGGGGTGATGAGAGGAGTCAAGAGTATGTACCTGGTGTATGTGGGACATCGGCATTGGTGTTGATGTCGTGTACATTGGTCTTCAATGTCGACGTAAGCCTGGTGCATGAATGTAGATAGGTTAGGTAGGATGAGTAGAGTAGGCTGGGCGCTGGGCGCCAGATAGTAGGAGCGACGTTGAAGACTGTGTTGGTGTGGCCTGAGGGCTTGGACATTGGCCTATGAGTGCACTGTATCGATCTTATTTGGATGGAATCTTGGTGCACTTGAGCTCTCTGCTTCTTACATGACTATCTGGACTTCTGCGTGATTTCACAACCTGTTTTTTTTTGTTTATTCCTCTCGCTCATATTCCTTGCAATTCGGTGTCGGAGCTACGGCCGGTCATCGAAATGCACATTGGCTCAATTGGTGAGAAATCTGTGGTTGGGGGCAGCTATCTCCAGTTACGTTGTTCCCTTACCTTATCTTGCCTCTCAATCTCTTCGTACCGTGAGGAAGTGAGTCCAACCTTGAGTGTCCTCTTTTGAGAAAGGAGTCGTGAGCGCGCTACCTTGAGAGACGGCATTCTTCCCGGTGGCACATCTGGCAGGAAAGGGCGGTGCCTCTGAAGGGCCCTGGTCGAAGCACGGGTCACGGTCATCATGCCAACGCATGGGAGTAGTACACGCAGGCCATGCTGCTTTGTCCTTTAAGGCTCTTTGCTACACTAATAGAGGGATCGTGGACTGACCAGTCCTGACCGACTATAAATATTTCTTGCGGGGTTCTGATCTGTACACTGGTTGTGATCGCCGTCCTGTCTGTGTTAAATAATATCTGAAAACCTTGGGGGCTGTCCTTAAAACGCCTCCTGATCAGCCAGATCAGACAGACATAAGGCTCGTTGCACGCGAGGATAAAGAAAGGGCAGTCCTGGTCATAAGCGAATTCCTGGGATCAGGGGTGGGCGGTAATGCACACCTTAGACACCGCTGCGTGATGATGCGGACAGGTACGTTGGATACAGGGGAAGGAAGGTACCAATTGGTGCTCAACCATGGCTGTGCCCGCAACCGGCCGGTTGGACCGGCCCGGATCCAACCGGGCCGGTTGGACCCCCGGTGGTCCAACCGGAATTCCGGTTGGGTCCAAAACTGGGTCAATTTTTTTTTTTTTTTTTTTTGAAGACATGGTTGGACTGCGCTCACCGAGATCTCCCCGAATCCGCAAAGAAAACTTTGAACAGAGAAGTTTCGTTTGGGGGGTTCGGGGGTTGGGGGGGGGGCGTATTTCAGGGGTTGAGGCTCGGGGGCTGGGGGGGTTATGGTGAGGGTGTTAGTGGTGGGGTTTCAGCACGGGCTTCAGCAGACATTGACA